CGATCTGGAAGAATATCGGCCCTCGGTCTTTTTTGTACGGACCTCGCTGCGCTCGGTCCGTACTGTCAAGACCTCGGGCCGATATTCTCCCAGTGCGACCCTCGAGCTTGGTTAATGAGATATATGTATTCAAGCCCGGGAGAAAATTTTCTTAGGGACAGAAACGCCGCTGTTTACTATATCTTTAATCTCAGGAGAAACCATTACTAAAGTTCAGGTAATTGCGTCAGTGGTGGTGAACCTCTAAACTCCCAAAGCCGAAGCCGACGGCATCTCTGAGTCAAGTCCTATTCATTTACACACCAGTACTAGTCAAAACCACTTTCCTGTTCTTTCACTCTAGCCGATCTACGACCTATTATTGACATCGTTCGCGCGCTTTGATTGGTAAATTTTTCAATCCGTAATCATTCACCAGCACAGCTTAGAATTGCGTTCGTAAGATCATAGTTAATCGAGGGGAACCATTCCCCTCGATTAACTATGGTAAGATGGTATTCCTTCTTCCTCCACCGCTAAAGGCCTTTTGGAGCTGAGGTAACTGCTATAAAGTTCTATGACGGTTCTTACATGTGCTTAAGGTATTGTTCAATAGAAGATTTTGCATTAGTTCGAACCATTATCAGAATTTTAAACGCAACGCCGCCAAAGGAATACTGATCGTCAAATGAAGTAAACAAAGCTGAGCCATGAAATTCGGACCTTTTCTGTCTTTGCACAGCATTGGTAGTATTTCTTTGTATAAATCCTATTTCTCAGAACACTGCACGGCCTTCGTTGTCCCGCTTTTCATAGATGGTTTCGTTAGGAAGCTATTTTAGATCGACAGCATGATAGGGTCTAAAAGTACTTACGAGTGACCACGAGTGACCACGAGTGAGATTAAATCAAAATATCTCAGTTTTGTTACTATGACGTCATTACGCAGTCAAATTCACATCATTTCCTCAAATACCTATTAGAAAGGAGACTAATATTTTCCGCGGCATACGTCCGATGATTCCAATAAAATCCAAAAAGTATATTTAAAAAACCATAACTACGGCAAGACGTATATTTTATTATATCACCGTGTTATTTAACT